AGGGTAACTCTCCCTGTTGCACTTCCAGCAAGGGCAGGCTGCTGTGATCCCTTGGGCACTGAAGGACAAGCTCTTTTCTAAGTTATTTTCTTCCTGAGCTGCTTGTTGGTCACAGGGGTAAAAAAATGTTGAAGTGTGGGCATAAGGAGTCAGTCCTTGGGCTCTGGGTGTTTTTGGAGCAGTGGGAGCAGGCTGCATCTCACAGGTGACTTGTGGGTCAAGAGTGTGTGTCCCTGAGGTGAGGAACAGTGTCTCCCCTGTAAAACTGTGAGCAGGTACCTGGCAGGGCAGCAACCCACGTCCTGCTGGCCCCTGAACAGCTTTCCCTGGGGCAGAAGAGAGGACCAAGAGCTGGTGAGAAGCAGGGAGGGGTTTGGGTGACAGCTAGCCTTGATGTTTCTCTGGCCAGAGGTGGAAATTCATCCCTCCTGCTTTAACCACGACCTTTTCAGAGGTCTTTGTTGTGTCACAAGTAGCGTGGACTTCTGCAGACCAGGGCAGCTCCTGAGGGGCCAGGGTTCTGATCCTGCTGCTGTTAAACCCTCTGTGTCCAGACACCAGCACCCTGCTGTGTCCAGGAACACCAGGAACTGTGCCCCACGAGATACACCCTGTACCTGGTTTCTTGGCAGTGTCTTCCCCCTCGTGCTTTCTTGCAGGCAAGTCACAGGTCCCCACCTGGACTGTTCCTCTGTTTAACTTGTCCTCAAGTGACAAAAGCCACTGGTGTGAGCCTGGTGCTGCCTGTGACTCCTCATCACATTTCAGCCTTCATGCTATGATGGTGCTTTATTTTTTTTCCTTCAGAGTCAGTTGCTTTCAAGTGTCTTAATGAAACCATTTGCTGTAAAATTTCTTCTGAAGATAAAATGGATACTGCCTCACTGCCTAATGTCTTAATAACCTGCTTGGTTTTCTCCCTCTGTATGAATGTATATTGCCTCATTAGGGCAGGAAGCCTGTGTGGTTGTGGATGTGTTCTCCTCTGTTGCCTTCAGAGAACAGCTCTGCAGTTTCCCAAGTTGTTCTTCCACTATTGGGCTGTTTTTACAGTGAAAAATCTTTCTGTGGACAGTTGAGGTGCTTTCTGAAACGTGGGAATTCAGCCTCCCAAGAGCTTGGCTTTGTGGAACTCCTCTAATGAGATTGTGAAGAGTGATGGGCTCTGGAAAACTGTTACCTTGGAGAGTGTGTGTGTGTGTTTGTTTGGGGTTTTTCCCCCCTCCACCCCAAGCTTTAGGAAGAAACTCTGTGAAAAGTATTTGTTGAAAGGACTGGAGTGTGTGTGTGTGTTTGTGTCCATTTTGCATTGTATTCAGTGTTTCCAAATGGATGCAATTATGAATCAAAATAAATGATTAGAAGTTATTTACAGAGTGGCCTGTTGATTGATGCCAACACACTCAGGCAGGTCAGTGATCAAAAGCTGTCATCATTTTGTGGCTCTGTAGCTGTGAGCTGCACTTGAGAATAAGGGAGCAACAGGCTGTGGAGAAGCTTGAAGCCAGTGTTCTTCCAGTTCTGCAGAAGCTGCCCTTTGGATTTGTTGGTGTTGGGATGAAACAGAGACCCACTGGCAGTTCTCACCACCCTGAAAACCTGGGATGTTCCCCTGTGGTTGGGATCTGAACAGGGATCTTGCATCCCACGAGTCAACCCCTTCTCAGCAGCTGATCAGGTTCCCAGCTTTAAAAAGTCCAGTGTCTTGCTTTCCCTCCTACACCTGCCCACACAATGCATTCACAACCCCAAAAAGGAACATTCTCTTACTTGAAACTCTCCTCTAATCCCTGTTTGGGAATGACATGGAGATTCTCTGTGGGAAGAGAGAGAGCCTTTGATCCTGTTGGTATCTCAAGACATCTGCAGAAAGACAAGTTCATGAGTAGAACCACAAGTGCCTTCAGCTCTTCCCAGAGCTCTGCTCTGATTTGCCTGGGTGGCTCTTCTGCCTGGTGTTGAGCTTTGTCTCTTGGAAGGTTACTTTGTGCTGGCCACGAGGCCCTGGCCCTGAAACAAATCCAGTTAGGTGGGAGTGGTGTGTGCAGAAGGGTGAGACTTGGACACCCCAGCAGCCACCAGCAGCTTCAGGAACTCCAGTGCTGAAGACCAGGAGTTGGTCCAGGCAGGTGTGGGTTGAATGGGGAAGTCAAGAGGCCTCTTGTATCCTGTTATCAATGTACCTGATCCCTGAGCATCATCCCTGTCCTTCAGCTGGGCCCAGCTGCTGTGGCTTCAGGAGGCAAGAGCCAAGGCTTGTCAGAGCACAGCTCCTCCTGGATCCTCTTCTGGCTTCTCCATGCAGGAACTGTCCAGCTGACAGCACCTGATCAGGAGAAACTCTTTCAAAGCTGCTAAAAATGGAAGAAAACCCTGCAAAGTGAGAGGACTGGAGACAAAGGCCAGTTTCAAAAGTAAGTGTTGACTATACCTCAAGTTCTTTGTGGGGATTTATGTTCAAGATAAGCAGCTTTATCTCCATGGGTGGTGGCTGGGTGGGAGCTGTGGGCCTTGAGGACAAAAAGTGGGGTGTTGCTGGGGAAAGAATCTGCAGTTCAGGGAAACAGATGCACCCTCAAGTTACCAGCAGCTCAGAGCAGCCTCTTAGCTGTGAGTGCTGGAGATACAATTCAGGGGTGTTCCAAGAGCTCATTAGGGAGAGGGAGCACCAAGAGCAAGTGGGTTGCTCTTGCTCCACAGCTTGGCTCTCTGAACACGTGCCTGTGAGCAAATGCCCAACTCTGGAGCCCACTGCTGTGCTTGGGCACCTGACCTGTCCTGTGCCACTGGCCCAGGGCCCTCACCCTGGGCTTCAGTTGTCCTTCAGTTGGCTCCTGTCACACTTGGCATCCTTAACTCTGCTGTGTTCATGGCAGATTTGAGTTTATTGGAAACGTTCAGTGCACAGACAGGTTTATAAGATCATCTGACACAGTGGGTAACAGTAAACTCTCTCCTTCCTGCCACTCCCCAAGTGCTCCCTGTACTGCCAAATGCTTTTGGAGAGAACTTTGCCTGTCTTGTTGTGAGGGGAGAATGATTCCAGATTCCTGCCTCCTGCTGTTGCTAAGACAAGACATATTGGAGCTTGAAGGCATTACCTTGTCTGCACTGCTGCAGGTTAAACAGTGGTAAGAAACTTTAATCATGCCAGCTTTAGGTGATGTAAAACTACAGCCTGCCTTTGTCTGGGATTCTTTAAGTGCTGGATCAAGTGAAAAGGCTCAGACAGACTTGCACAATGCAGCCTTTACAGTTAAAAATGCTTAAGTGACAAGATAGGGGTTCCTAAACTCCTCATCACAGCTTGCCACCAAAATCAAAGCACTGTGCTTACTTGCTGGCCAGTGCTGCCAACTAGGCAGGGCCTGGAAAAAGAATCAAGGTTTTAGACTGCCCCTATGTGATTTACATAAATAGCTTTTCCTTCTCCTTCCATCCAAACTTTCCTGGCACTGGTTGGCTAGAAGCTGTTCCCTGGGTGGCTGAGGGTCAGCTGACAGGTCTGTTGGCTCTCTGGTCATGCTGTGCCACCCTACAGAGCACTGGCAGCAGAAAAGCACCAGGTTACTGCTTAAGGAAACACAGGCACAGTCCAGTTCTGTGCTCCCTGGGAAGGAGGAGGGTTTGTGCCAGTGCTGCAGCTCTGCAGGTGGAAATGGTGTGGGCCTGAAACACCCCCCTTGTGGGGAACAACCCCCTGAAGTGCAGAGTGAAAGTTTCTGTATGGGCTTAGTCTGTGACAGCAGTGACCCCAGGGAGGTTCCTTTTGGCTGCAAGACCCTTTGCACTGAGCAGGATTCCCCCTGGGAAGGCAGCACTGGACAGGATCAGTCTCTTTGTCCCCTTTCACAGCCACCTTGGATGCTCTTCTGTCACGTCTGGAAGTTGGGGAGAATTTCAGCTACTCTCCTGCGTAGCTGGTTTCTCCTTTCCTCTCTCTCCCTTTCCTTCTTCATCAGTGATGGGTACTGCCTCCAGGCCTTCAATGCATTCACCACGAGCCTCCTTAAATTTGGGACAGAAAGAACAAAGCAGTGACACACAGATGTGTGCAGAACACAAGAGGTGATCAAGGTGACTTCTCTGTGAGGGGTGAACTCCCCTAACCCAGCTGTGGGGTTTGTCCTTTCTGCTGCTGGTCAGGGCTGTGACACATTAAACTGCATGCAAATTGCTTCATTAATATGTCAATCATGCCAGGGGAAAAAGAACACCTTGCCCTTGTCTCTTCCTCTCCCAAGAATTTTGCTCCTCCCTCTGACAGGATTCATTAGCTGGTATTTGCTAGTCTGCAGATGAAAGGTATTTCCTGAGGAATAAACAGGGTCTCTGAAAGCAGTTTTTTGAAGAAAAATGCAGGCTTGTCTGGCACACCCAGCCAGGCTCAAATTCTTACCTGATTTTAACCACCCACCACAAGTGCCTTGTGCTCAGTTTCCACATGGGTAACAGGGAGCAATGGTCCTGTCTGAATATGTCAAGGTCTGAACTTCCCTTTGCCAGTCAGAGGGGCAAGAAGTAAGAAGGAGTGACAGGTGATTATGCTCCTCATAGGAGGTGATATGTAGAATAAACCCAGGCTCTTCCTGGGTCTGAATTTTCCCTCCTTCCTCTCATTTGCTGGCTGGTTGGATTAACTTGTGCACTGTTCTGGCAAGCTAGGACAGGTTTGCTCTACCATGGAAGAGGGGAATGGAATTGAATTCTTCCCCCAAGGTGCTGCAGATCCTGTTGGGGCTGTGCACAGGCACTGCCTGCAGCTGCCACGGTGAGGCAGGTGAACCTGCTTCCCCTTCCCGCTGAAATATGGATGGTTTTGTCTTCCGGCTAACATGTTCAGCTGAGGCAGTCGTGGGGCAGTGGCTGAACTGGGAGTGTCTGCTCCAATTCTCCCTCCCAAGTCAGGCTGACAATGGCATAAACCAAAAGATTTCTTAAGTAGGGTTTTTACTTGATCACCTTTTGGATTTGTGAACTGAATCAGCTGCTGCAGACAAAACAATACAGTGTAATTCCTGCACCATCATTGGCTTGCTGGAACTGTACTTAAAGATTTTCCTAAGGCAGCTTTTAGCAGAAGCTGCATGGTCACATCTGCTAATCAGCTTAGAAAGTTTCAGCTACTTATCTGCTTTGACTGTATTCTCTTCCAGCAGATTTAAAAGTCCTGTGAAGGGTACCACTAAATTTCCTCTTCCAGGCTGCATGGAAAATTCTTAACCATAAAGCTCTAATGCTGTTGTCGGTGCATATCACAGAAGCAAAATACCAGCAGTAAGGAATCTGTATCACATGTTTTTGGGGAGCAGATAATGGAGCTGCCAAAAGCAGTGCCTAAAATAATCTATGGGGTAGAATAAACCCAAATAAAATGAGCTGCTGGCAAGGGAGTGCACTTACTTGTTACTGTGTTCAGCAGCAATCTTCAGCTTCTCCCACAAGGTAGATTTTTCCTCCATGACCAGATCAAACCATGCCCAGAAGAACTTCCTCATCAGGCAGGCTGCATGGAGGGTACTTGCTCTCTCCTCCAGAGTGGAGAGATAATCCTTGTACTAGGGAAGGAGGCCAGAGAAAGAGCTCTCAGGGTGGCTTCCTTCTCCCAGCCTGCAGCCCAGGAAGCAGAAACAGCAAAGGGCAAGGGGGACAGGAGGGGAGGAACCAAACAGAGAGCAGGGTGAGAGTGCACAGGTGGAGGAGCAGCACAAGGGGAGTGTCCTGGCTGGAGGAGGAGGAGGATGGAGAGCTGAAAGAAGGTCTCAGGAGAAGAGTGTTGCTGGAATGGGGACAGTGTAGCACTGCAAAGGCTGGGCTGGAGGTGGGTGAGAGGACACTGGTGAGGGGACAGTGCAGCAGCAGCAGCTTGTTTGATATTGCTGCTCCCCCAGAGTGGTGCAGACAAACCTTGAGCCAGCTCCTGAGGCCCCGTCTCAGCAGCATCTGGGAGTAGAGGTCCTCAGCCCCAGCCACCTTCTCCCTGAGGCTCCTCTGGGTCTCCTGCAGCCAGGCCACCAGGCATCTCCTCTGCAGGCCCCTGCAGTGGTGCCTCTCTGCCACCTCAGGAGAGACAGCAGAGATGGCAGCTGGTGACTCCGACTAGAGACTGTATAAACACAAAGCTATGGAACACTGGGTACTCTATAATAGCACCTCAGCTTTTTGGGGACCCCAAAATGCAGATGTGTGACAGCTTATCAATGAGGATGCCATTCTTGGGGGTTTTTGATGACCTTTCATGATTATTGTCAGATGGGCTGATTTAAAGAACTAATACAGGGCAAGGTGTACAGGGAGAATTTTTGCTTTTCCCATCTCTAAATGGCTTAAGAGCCTATTAAGGTTTCTGATAAGTGCTGCATCCATCCTTTTTCCCTTCCTCCCATGGCACCAGTCCTTTCCTCTCTCCTCAGCACTTACCACCAGGTTCTCCTTAGCTTGCTCCCTCAGCCTTTTCCATGGCACCAATCCCAGCTTTCTGAGCAGGACCTTCTCATAGTGATCTCTGGCCTTTTTCTGGAGCTGCTCTTCTTTCTCCAGCCTCCTCTGCTTCTCCAGCTCTTTCTACAATACAAAGAGCAATATTTTTAATATCCTTCAGATGAAAAAGATGCTGAGCAATGACAATAGATTGCCATATTGAAGCTGGAGGGATCTGCATTGTCTTCAGCAGTGCAGACCAGACGTGACCTCATGCACCAGAATCTGTGCAGAAAGCAGAGCCAACTGCCTTGAAAATTCCCCCAGAAGATGCTGGTATTTCTGCACACTTCTTTGGGCCATGTATGTGGCCTTCCCTCAGCACTCCAGCTTGGTGTTGCTGTAGCAGATGTATCCTCTTGGCTACCAGCAGCACTGATGTAGCAGGAAGCTCCTTTTGATGGGCCTTCATCAGTGTGGGGAGGGGTGCTTTGTAGCTTGAGGAGGGCAGCTTTCTGTGGTTATAAAATCAGACTGAAAACAAGCCCAAAAAACTATTCCCAGTTTATGCACAGACCCCACCACTTTTATCTCACTTAAATAGCAGGAGAGGGACATGGGAATTATATAACTGTACAATACTACTTTTGACTGAGACTTGCAGAAGAAGTTCAAACATCCTAAAACAGTCAATCCAAGTAGAACAGTAGTCACAGGTCACATTCCTGTAGGATTTCCATGGGCTATTTGGGTTATTAGGACAGCTCATTTCCAAGCAACAATAATGAAGTGGAGCTATTCCTAGGCTACCTCCAAGGAGAGGATGCTTCTGTTCTCCAGGTGGAGAGTTGCCCTTGATATCTGTCAGGCTTGTTTACTTTTAAATCATGTGTTTATGACTGATATTGTGTATGGTGGAGGGGGATACAAGTGGAAGGAGCAGTTTGAAAGTAGGTGGAACATGCTGAGGGGGTTTAAATATCTGTGCCTCAGCAGTGAACACCTACCAGCTGAGACCTCTAGTCCTGCTGATGGAAGACTACCAAAAATGGGCAAGGTGGTGAGTCTGTAGAGTGGGTATTGTGCTGTGTAACTCTGGCTTACTCATGAAGACCTTCAGTTCCCATTAGTCTTGGTGCTGGTGGCTAATGGCTCTTCCCTACCCATGCTGAAGGGGAGGGGAAAAGGGGAGGTGTTTGATCACCAGTTTCTGCTGCCTTCTCTCTTCTCGTCGTTTTTCCTTCTGAGCTTCCTTTTCCTCAGCCTCCTTCCTCTGTTGTGCTTCCTCTTCAGCCTTCAGCTGGGCCTTGAGATGGAGAAAAAGGAGAAAGATAAATATTTTGGCCCCTGTCACCTTTTCAGAGAACACAGACCTCCAAGCTTGCCCAGTGTTCCTCTAATGCTGACAAGCAACTGCAATTTCAGAAGGAAGCAGATTGTCACAGACTAGACATGATCTGTGCTGGACAATTTGCTGTGGGAAGGGGAAGGAGGGACTGTTCTACTTTCTACTACCTACCTCTCTACATACAGCTATCTATAGATATCTTTTTACTGCTTATATATTTAGAAAGATAGATAAATATTTTGGCCTGTGTCACCTTTTCAGAGAACACAGACCTCCAAGCTTCCCCAGTATTCCTCTAATGCTGACAAGCAACTGCAATTTCAGAAGCAGATTGTCACAGACTAGACATGATCTGTGCTGGACAATTTGCTGTGGGAAGGGGAAGGAGGGACTGTTCTACTTTCTACTACCTACCTCTCTACATACAGCTATCTATAGATATCTTTTTACTGCTTATATATTTCTTTGCCCTAAATTATAGTATTTGCCTGCTCTTCCCCTAAAAAATTTAAACCACATACCAAATTATTTATTGATAACTTGATGACTTAAATCAGTTCTGAATCCCTGGGCTCTGCTCTGAAGTTTTACTTCTAAATGCAAAGCAGCATTATAGATACCCAAACATTTATTTCCCCAAACCCTGAAGATCAAAGAAATCGTTTTACTTGGCACAACGTTCTCCTCTGAATGTTTATCTACTTTGCAAACCCCATTTCACTTTTTTTCTCTTCATTTTGCTTCCACCCTTCCTGTCCTCATCAAGGACACGTTATGGTTGGGGGGTGGCTGTGAGAAGTGTCTCCAAATGCAGCAACAACGACTTCTTTTGATGTGTGCTGGACAACTCTTTCTCAAAAGCTATAAAACACTTTTCCTTAGTCCTTTTCTTAGTCCCTGACTCAGGTGAAACCAGCATTTTTTTGGTAATTAAAAAGGTGTGAAAGAGACTTGATGATTTTCCACTTCCCCTACCAGTTTCTCCTCCTCTCTTTGTTGCTTGGCTTCCTCCAGTCTCCGCCTCCGCTCCGCACGCTGAGCTGCTCTCTCCTCCATGGCTGCAGACACAGAGCACGTCAGGCTTGGTGGAAGGGAGCCACAGGATGATGGCAGGAGTTGGGGGAACAAGGAGGAGCCCTTCCCCCTGCTGCCAGACCCCTACAGAGCTGGCAATGCCAGCACAACCTCCTACAGCCAGCAGTGTCGTCAGCAAGGAACCCCGAAGTATTTCTGAGATGATTCAGGGCTGCCCCAGTCAGACCCACTGCACCCTCCCTGACTGAGCCACAACCAGGAGGCTCAGCTGTGAAAGGAGCTGTGAGAGGTTTTATCTCTGGCTTCCCTGAGAGAGGGATGAGGCTCAGGGCACCTCATTTAGCAGCAGTTGCTGTGAGGTTTCTAGTAAGCTCCAGTGGCTTATTTAGAGTGACTTGTGAGGGAAAGCATCCCTGCCACAGAGACACACTTTGTCCTGCTAGGGAGAACTCCTGCCTAATGCTGCTCCTGGCAGATAAATGGTGATGCAGGGATCTTGCTGGCCATGAGGGAGGTTCCAGAACACCTTTCATGCAGACTGTGACCACCCCCCAGTTGATATGGCAGAACAAGACCTAGGGATAGAGCAGAACCCATCTTAATTTGCTGCATGAAGAGGCTGTTCTGCATGTTTAACAGGTGTGGGGTGTTCCAGTGGGGCCAGAGAAGGGGACAGAGCTCACAGAAAGCAGGGATCCAGAGCTCTTCCCCAGCTGTCTCACAAAAACCTTCAGTATTAGGCACTTAATTCCCTTTGAAATCTCAATACTGCTGTCAGAGTTAGATGAAGATGACTGGTCAGGTAAAGTGTCCCTTGGATGTGCAATGAAGGCAATAAGAGTGACAGCAAAAAACCTTGTAGGAGCTTCTCTCTCTGAGTCTTGTCACACCAGAAGCAATCACAAGTGCTACCACAGTGTACTAACCATGGAATTGAGGGGCTTCTAGTGGCCCAGGTTCTACAGATGCCTGACCTGGGCATGAAAACAGCTCACTGCCTCACAGCACTGGTCAGGCTGGGAAAGAGAATGCCAAGTTTTACTTACATACTGTAAGCAACCAGCAAGGCTGAGGCAAAGAAAGAAGTTTCCAGACAAGCTGCTGAGAAAAGTGGCCTGGAATGGTCTTTGCTGTGTCAAACAGTACCTTTCAGGAGGGGGTGAACTGAGGTCAGCTGGCTGGAGGGCCTCCTGCCTTGTATCCCTGCCCTTGTGTGTTCTGGCCCAGGAGAAACAGGTGGACTAGGAAAGGAAATAAAGTAAAGAAATCCATCAATGAATGTGGTCAAATGTTTCACACCTACCACCTATGCTTCAGAAATGGGCCTTGTAGGTTCTATTCTCCATTCTGCTGCATTTTTGTTCTGAATCCTTGATACCTTTCTTCTGCTTGAAATGGGATTAATGATGCATCCAGCCTGATACCCCCCTTCAGGCTAAGTCAGAGGGGAGAGGAAGAGCAGATAGCACCAGCACGACTGAAGTGGACCTGGCAAACTCTGTCTCAACTTGTGTAAGCATTACTAATTGAGCTTGCTTTATCAAGGCTATGTACCTCAGCTGGGTCATGGTCTTGCCCCTGGATGGGGTTTTCCTCTCTGCTTTTTCCTCCCTGGTTTGTGAAGCAGAGTTTTCAGTGGCTGGGTTACAGCCATGGCTTGTGCTGCCTCTTCTTTAGCACAGCCCAACCTCTGATTTTCCTGCAGTTCAAGGATCAGCTTTTGCTGTTTCTGAAGCTGCTGCCTCTGCTCCTCCATCAGTTGTTGCTGGAAGGCATGAGGGTGTTCACCATGGCTGCCAGGAGCAGGAGCTCTCTTTGGACCAGGGGCCTGAGACTGCTGGGGGAGAGTGGCTCCCTGGGTCCTGCACACAGCCTGGGCACCCAGGGCTGTGTGTTTTGGGGCCATCTCCCAGGCAAATTTGGATTTTCTGTAGGAATCAGATGTGTGAGCAGCATCCCAACAAGAGTGGTCTCTGGTCTCAGCTTCATTCTGTACGAGGCAAGTTTCAGTTGGCTACAGGAAAACAAAATAAAACAAGAGTGGAAAATTTTTGATTAAAACCAAGCACTCTTCTGCCTTCCCTACAAAGCAAGTGTTTCTTTAATGCAGATCTAGTGAGATGCCTGAGAAGTAGGGTAATCTCAGCTATGCAATCTTTATCCAGCTCCTGCTCAGGGCAGAGGGGCCCTGTTAGGCACAAAAAGGGAAGCTGGGGGAAAGAACTTTTAAGGAGCTGTGTGCCACTTCACTGGCAGGAAGAAATCCTCATCAAGCAAGAGCTCTGGCAGGGATGTATCCTGAGGATTTTGTTAGGGAGCACAGCTCAGGACATGAGCTGATCTCTGAGATAACACACACCCTTTTGAACTGTGTTGTCCCCACTCAGTGCTTAAATGGAGAAAAAAGGAGAAAAAAAAGAACACAATTGTTGAAGTGATCTACACAGCTGATCTACTGGCCAGTCTCTTTTCAGCTGGAAGAGAAGTCCACAGCATGCTGCTTCCTCATGGCTTTTGTCTAGCTTTGATAAATATTACCAAGAAAGTGGTGCCCAGTGGGGAATGAGGCTGCACCTTTTCTGGCACATGGTATTGCTCTGAAGAGACAGCAGATATAAGGTCTGCTTTCTCACTCCTAGGTCAAAGCCCAAATTCAGTCTCATCTTTCCAGCACAAATTTTAACAGTGAATCAGAAGAAAAATATTGGGCCAAGTAGGGGGATAAAAGCACCGTAGGAAATCAAACTTCTCCTGACACTTAAGCAAAGACAAAGCTTGACCTGTAATAGGTGTGTGTGAGCTCTCACACTGGGATTGGGATACTGCTGTGGTGCAGGTTTTTCAGGCAGAAAAGAAGGGCTGGCTCTGACCTGACAAATGACAATTTAAGGAAGCAACCTCTGAGTCTCCTCTCCTACCTCCTTGCGATGCGCATTATCCTGAAACAGCCACTGACAACGTTTCTACCCCATGCTTAAGAGCTGGAGAGCTGCAGTGGCATGACAAAAATCTCTTGTCATGCAGTCAAGCATTATTCTTTTTAAGTCTAAGCAGGCATCAAAGATGTAACTAATCTCTCAGCAAAAGGGATCTGGGGGTGGGACGCTCGTTGCGGCTCTCAGTACATGAAGGGTGGTTCTCTGGCAGCATTAGAGATTATTTTTAAAACTCACCCCCACTGTCCTTCACTTCTGCCTCTGATTTTTAAAGACTTCTCTCCTGAACAGTTGCAGGCAGGTATTGGTGGGGGGGGTCACCCTGGAAAGAAGCCTTCCTCTGGGACAACACACTCCCCAGTACTTGGTGAGAGCGCTGAAACGCCAACAGACAGAACTACCCAGGAAGGCTTTACCTTGCCTTGCTGCAAATCTTGGTGTTGGTTTAATTCTGCTGTCCCAGGCTTGTTAACCTTCCCCAGTGACACGGCCTCCAGGAGCTGTGCCATCTTCCTCCTCATCTCCTCCCTCCTGAGCTGCAGCTCTCTCTTCTCTGTCTCCGCCCGGCTCCAGCGCCGCCAGGCCAGGAAGCAGCCGCGCAGGAGCCGGCGCTGGTGGTGCTCTACAGACACACGTTTCTTCCTGCAGGAGACACCATCTGAGTCAGGAGAGGAGTGAGGCTTCTGCCCAGGCCTGCCTGAAACAACCACATCAAGTACAGCAGCCCAGGCCATGGCACAAGGTCCCATTATCCCCTCCCCAGATCTTTGTGGTGCTTAATTCCGAAGGGCCTCCGAAGCTGCACGGAGTTTCTCCCAGGAGCAGCAGGAGGGCAGAAAGGATGCTCCTTATTTGGAAGTAAGATTCCCTAGTTCAGGTTTTGTCCTCTCCTGTGTCATCCTTGGGTTTAGGATTGGTACAAAAGAGGTGTCCTGTGCCCTTGCTAGCTGTGTAAGGGGGGTGGCAACAGTGCCTCACCACACAGCCTGCCAGACACCTGCAAGAGCAAAATTTTCTCTGGCTGGTGAATGCTTTCAATTCATCCAACAGCCTCCTTAATGAAAGGCACTGGCCAAAATGATCTATGCTGAAATTTCTGCTACTGAAATAGGAACTAACTATGTTAATCAGGAGTAAATGTGGCACCTCATATGCTCTGGGGTCCTGAGCAAGCCAAGGTGAGATTCTTCAGGGAAGGCACCTACAGAGCGAGTGAGACACTGCTGGGAAGTGTTAAAGCTCTTGCTTATCCCTGTCCTCCTTTCCATCTGTGCCACCAGGCTCTGACAGACTGCAGGAATGGAGCAATTTGCTCAAAAAGTTCCTGTCCTCCTCCTGCTGGCTCACTGGCAAGCCCCTCTTACAGTCCCTGACCACTGCAGTACCCAAGTGCTGCTGCAGGAGTTCCACAGAGCAGGGTCACTACCTGTTTTGCTCTTGGAGGTGAAATTCCAACTGTCGTGTCTCCTGCTCCACCTTCTGGGCCCAAGTGTAGTTCCTCCAGGCTCTCAGGGCCTTCAGCTGGCACCTCCAGTCAGCAAGGGCTCTGGCTTTTCCCATTTTCACTCTGTGCTCCAGCATGACTTTCAGCCAAGCAGAGAAATGTTGCTGCATGCACTGCAGGGGAAGAGTTTCAGAAAACCAGTGAGCAAGGTTCAGCCCATCACACACATGCTGGTCCTGTCCACCCTTCCCCTTAGCTGACTGTCCTTTTTGAGGTTCTTTTTAGAATCCTCACTTTCAACAATTACCTTAAGGGTGAGAAGCAAAAAAAATAATGCAGAGCATGGGCAGGTCTTCTACAAAAACCAGAAAGGAACTAAAAAGATACTAACATGGGGCTCTCTGCTTTTGAGTGAAACACACTTAGCTCAGCAAGTGTAAAGGAATAAAATGGGTGAGGAACATGTCTAATGTTTCTAACATTTCTAATTTCTAACATTTCTAATTTCTAACATTTCTAATTTCTAACATTTCTAATTTCTAAAGACAAGCTGGAAAGATGTTTCAAAATCTAGAAAATGTCTAAGATGCTACAGGTGAGAATAATTCCTTGGAGAACAGTTCACCAATATCTCCATGGAGTTTTTTTAAACTTAGACAAAACTCAGGACACTTCCTAGCATGAATTTATGACATGACCTAAGCTCAGCCTTGTTCCAGTAGGAAGCCAAACCCTTCCCCTATTGTGTAGCTAAGACTCGCTGCCTCTGGGAGTGATCTACGTTGTACAGAACAGCAATTTTCTGTCTAATCTACCCCATAATTCCAGCCCTGTCACTGCAGACACTGTTCATTTTGATCCTCCAAGTGGGTCAACTCACAGGACTCAGCTGTTCCCCTTTTGTCATTAATGCCTTGTTTTAATTGCATTCCCCTCAGTCACGGAAATCTCCCGATGGAGAATTACAGCAAAGGACAAAATGTCACTGCATTAACTGGGGTTTTTTTTTCCTGCTTTAAGAAAATAATCAAAGTGTCACTGTTGCTTAGCTCAGCTAAGATGTGGCTTCTCACATTTATGCCAACCCTAAATTGTTCTGTGGTTTCATCCAGGCTTATCTTCATAGCTTGGATTGTACTGCTGAGCAGTTGCCAAGCTCAGATCCAGCAGACAAGCAGATGAAGTGAGCCATGGGGAGAATCACCATAAAAGCCAGGGGATTATGAATAAAAAAATAATTCTAGATGTAGATAAGTAGGCATTAATGATGATGAGTGCTCTATTAATTGAAAACATTCTGTGATGGATGGCATTCCTACCTGCACTCAGGGAAATTTATTCCCTTTGCTGAGACTGCCCATATAAAAATCACTCAGTACAAAAAGATGGCTCTTGAATTGCAAGTATTTGATACAATTAGATGTTTAACCCAGAGCTGGATGTGGTATCAGAATAATGAGGGTAAAAGAAGTAAGTTCCTGCTAAGAATTATTAAAGTCTGCATGTTTGCCTAAAAAGAGCTGTGGCAATACCACAGAACATCCTGCTGCCTACAGAGGGGGTGGATCCTTGAAGAACCTGTGTCAGAAACCCTTTTGTGCCACTTCCCCACTCCTCCTTCCTTCCTCAAAGGAAAACAAATCTTGCTCTGCTCCTCCTCTGTACATCTGCCTGTTTCTCAACTGCAGAAGCCTTTATGTTCACAGCTGTCCTGAGAGCCACACCTTTTCCCCAATTCTAAAGCAAACCTCCCACTGAGGACACCTGAAGCACAGCCACGCTGGGCATGGAGGCTCAGAATTTCTTGCTCCTGCTCTTGCAAGATGCTTTTTGCCCTGTTTTTCTACTTCCCTGGTTAAAATTTCTGACAACTAGGACTTTTTACTTCAGTTTTGCAAAAGGTAGCTGAGGGCAGGTAGTTCAGAATCTCAGAAGAGTGATGCTCACCTTCTGTTTATTGGTGTGGATTCTGTGCAGCAGCTCCTGCACCCTTCTCTGTTTCTCCTCTGCTTGCTCCTCCTCTCTCAGGACAAGGGCTGGTGATGCAGCAATAGACCCCTCCTGCATTGGCAGCTTCTGACTTTTGTCTTTTCTCTCCCCCTTCCTGGAAAGTGAACAAACATACAGATCTAACAGAATGAGGAAAGTACTGTAGCACAGTTCACTCTCTTTTTGGCCAGTCCTAAGAGAATCACCTCTACAGATTGAAAAGTTACTCATTATTCAACTTAGCCTTGGAAAACAGCCTCTGTCATGGTTTGGGGTCTTGGATATTAAACAGTCTGGAGCATGTCCAAAATGTAGCAAGCAGAAGAAAATAGTAAGAGTTCAATAAAGCACTTCCAGGAGAGAAGATTTAGCATCTCAGGGTTACCTAAGTAAAAAATAGCATCCCTATAAGTCTGTGACATCTCTGTGACAATCCAAGCTCAGCAGAAGCAAAAATTATGTCTCTGCAGACACACTCCTGCTTTGTGATGCAGTGTGCATGCTGGTCATGGCTGAGGAGAGGCTCACAGTGTCTTGAGCCCATCTTCCCACTCATGACAAACTCCTCCACTGATGTTGGTAACGAAGGAATAAAAGGTTCTAGGAGAGTTCAGAGAGAGTAGAGGAATAGCAGATGTTTCTCCTGGGACCAGCACTCTCAGGTTTAGCAAAAGGAGCTGATAAGCTTTCTTCAGATGGTTCTTTCCATGCCCCCCTCTCCCTCTTACGTTCTCCAGGCTTCTGCCATGCTGTGCCTCTTCTCAGCCATTTCCTTCCTCAGCTTCACCATTTCCCTCCGGATCTCCTCCTCCTCCTTCTTGGCCAGCAGAGCCTTCCTCCTCTCCTCCTCCTGTGCTCTGAGCCTGGCCTCACACAGCTCCAGTTTCTTGAGGGATTCTGCTTGTCTCTGAAGTTCTAACGCCTTCTGACGCCTCACTCGCTTTTCCTTCACCTGGGAAGGAGGAAATCAGCCAAAGGCAAAGAAAACACCAAAGGCTGAAGAATCTGAGGTTCACCTAAGCTGTGTGAGACTATCCTCAAGGTGTTGGCCTCCAGGTCAGAGATTATTGCAGGTTGGGAGAGGATACTGGGGGAGTATCACTGAGCATTTACTCTTAATCCTGTAATCCTCAGTCTTGCTCACCTGCTTGTGTCTGAGCTCCATGATGACTCGTGGATCTGCAAGTCTTTCTTGCTCCTTGATGTCTTCAAGCCTAAGGTTTTGCTCTATCCTCCAGCTCACAGCTTTGCTCTGCAAAAGATGCCCTAGGTATTCTTGGACAGAAGAACTTTCCAATTCATTTTCCAGAGAGCTGCACAAGTCTGAAATGAGGAATTCAGATTATCTCAGGCTGGTGTGAAAGGAATAAACCCCCCTCTGTCTCAGAGCACAAAGCCCAACCTAATTAAAGGGCTCACTTTCCCAGACTCTGAATGCATTTCTGATGAAAGCAGACACACTGACTGCACTCCACTTATCCCCAAAGAGTCTTAATCAGTCTCTCATTGAACGTGCCCAAGCAGTAACAACATTTCTTCCAGTTTTTTTACTGCCTTGCCTCTGAGCATCTCAAATGGCTGTATAAATCTGACAGGCCCATACACAAAAGAAATAAAATTTCTCTTCTATGAAGGGAGAGGCTGAATGTTTATGAGCTGCATTTGTGCAGCCCCACAGGGAGCTCCTCTAAGAGCAGGGGGAGAAAAATTATCACCTGTAATCTTGTTCCTACTAAGCCCACTATCCTGGCCTTGAAGCAACTTTCACCTCTCAGCCTGACAAGCCATGAGGCCTGGCTCCCTTCCCCAGCACATCTCAGCAAGGAAGGCAGGGACTGCTTTGCTGTGCTCTCACCATCAAACTGGTTGTACTTCAGGGGGGCTGCAGAAGGCTTCTCCAGGGGCACAGAGTCAACATCCTCTTCTCCATCACTCATCAGCTCCACTTGCAGTTTGGACTTCATCCAGTTCCTGAGCAGCTCTTGGGCTATCATAAGGAAAGAGACTGATGACCTCATTTGCTTAAAAAATATATGGGGTTAAGTGTAAACTAGCAAGAGCCTTTTCTGGAATAGTTACACCCCATGCTGGGAAGGCATGAAGTGACTGAAAGCTGATCAGCAACAGAAAATGGAATAAAACTAATAGTTCTTTTTCTCATCTCTTGTAACTGTAAAAGAACAGGAAGAGAAGGTGGCAAGCTTTTTCCCTGTCACAACCAAATTTTTTCATCCAAGTTTCTGTGGACACTTGGATCACTCCTGTGATTGTTACAGCATGTACCAAGGAGATGGAATTCACATGAGGTCTAACTTGGGTAACTTTCATATGTTTAACCACTGCACTTCTGGACACTTAGATATTTTCCACATGTACAGCTGAGGTTGTCATGTGTTAAATACAAAAAGAACCACTGTTTGGATAAATGTTTGCTTCTTGTATTAATTTTCACAGGTACTATAGCAAGGAATATTTTGCATGGGAATCAAAGTAAAACCACACAATTATTCACAGATGTGAAAATTATGTAGAGCAAACTATCAAAAATACATTGGGTAATTTCATCCCATTTCCTACAGCCCACTAACTTCTGTTTGGCCATGCAGTGTGTCATCAGGGTTAGTATTCATCCCCATCCTGATGTGAAATCTCCAGGAGACAAGAAGTTTATCCTTCTCTTAGGCAGGCTTACTAAGGTCTACCTCAAACTCCAAGTGATTCATCTCACACCTTCCTCCATGAGATGAAAAGCATCTTGCTGCCAACTGTTTCTTATGGTCTCAAGCTTTTAAAGAGCCTGTTCAGACCAGAACACTGCTGGGTCAAACCCAGTTCATTTTAGGCAGCTTGTGTCAGGTAGGATTTCAGCTCACCTTCCTCATAGACCTCATCATGATCTTGCAGCTGTTCCATGGTTCCCAAATCTGTCACGGGACCATAAGACTCCTGTGGATACCTTGACTTTTGAAGGGAAAAAGCTTCAGAGACAGCATACTTAGAGGCTTGGTCCACTCTCTTGAAATTAAAGAAAGGAAAACATTTCTAAGACTTGCTGGATATCCATTTTTAAACTTTCTGTATCCAAGTTTCTCCTACAGAGAGAGCAAATGTCAGTGGGAATGTAACACAAGACAGCATGGCTGTTATAAGAAATAGATTTCTTTTGAATCACATTTCTGATTGACTGGAGAAATTTGACTTAGAAGTCATTAAGTAATAAGCATTCATTTGGCAATTAGTGATTGGAGAGCACGTAGGGTGAATGCAAACTGGATGGAAAAATGGATGAAGACTTGCTGAGCTAGTTCCCAGCAACCACTGACTGCAAAATTTGGTATCAGCATTCTGATCACCAGGCTGGCCACTGTGTAAATCGTCCAAGTGACTTTCTGTCATCTGATTCATCTCTGGAGAGGTGTAAATGGCCCCGAGGTGCCCCTGCCTTTTCACACATAACACCTGTACCCCAGCCAGCCAGCATTCCTG